GATGTTCCGATGTGTTATGGATGTATTCCCCTTGACCATAATTGCCTTCCCATCTCATTGCCTTTGTAAATTTTATTTTATCAGCACATCACACAGTTAACATTTTTTACCATTGAGTTAAATCTTCAGCTGTTAGACAAATAAATGACATACTGGATCAATTACCAAGAATATGTGAAGCAATGGAGGGATGAGCAACATCCTTAACAACATGTCCTCATTCCTCCGGGAAATGACTAAACCCAATATCATTGCTATCAGATAAGCACATGGGAAAACAAATATAATTGCATTTCTGACACAAATGGCAATACAAAGGACCACATTTCCAACAATCCATTCTTACAAAGCAGCTCTGTTTGTTCATTAGTCAAACCATTTATATCCTGCAGCCCTTCAGGGTTCAAATATTTGGAGCCAAATGGTGAATTTCTCTTTATAGTAAGGGAGAGTGCATTGCATCAGGGTCTGAAGATTGCCAATGCCAGCTGCTAGATTACTACTTAATTTTTGTTCTTTCTTTGGATTGTAGCACAGTGACAGTGAGTTGGTCTTTCTGCAGATGGTAATGAGAGCAGGCAGTCTGAGTGGACCGTAGGGAATGGACTGGAGTGGTGCTTCATGATTCAGTCTCAGACAAACACAACATTCAGTGGATTACTGAACTGTGTATTTGGCTGCCCTTCAATTTGAGGATGATATCTGCTCAGGGTTACAGGTTTCTGCCTTGGCTCTTTTTGACAGAGCAGGTTGATTCTCAACCTCCTGGTCGTTGATCTCCTGATCAAAGTCCCAAGCAGTGATGGGATCTGGAGCTCGGGATTCATTTCCTTCCCATCTCTGCTGCTGCTCTGCCTCATTCAGGCATTGAGCTACACTGCAGGGAGACCCTCACCAGGTCAGGGTGTCTCATCTCTCATTTGATCACCATTCCAATGGACAACGAAGCAAATGCTTCCAAACTACTTGCATTTCACAAATGAGGGGGTTCCTCCGTTTAATGACAGGTTTGGACTGAGCTAGCTGATCTCCGACAGCGCAGTAGGAAAGGAGCTGGCTTGTGGTCTCACCGCTGCTGATTCATTTCACAGTGGGGCAGCCAAACCTTCAGCTGGCTCACTCTGGGTCCAGTCGAGGGTTTTAAGTGGTGAATTCATATTCATTTTGAGGGCTCATTCCCACCCAGCCACAATTTTCAGGCTAGTGTGATGACTATAGGGGCAGGTGGGAGGCCCGCTCAGAAAGTGGCCCTTCTCATGCCTGGGCTGGGAAGGTTTTCAGTGGACGTCTGCCAACGTTTTGGCGTTCGTCCAACAAGTTATTGTCTCTGTGAGCATTCTCTCTGCTCCCCCAGAACCCCGCCCCCTCCTCCACCCCAAACCTCCCTGGTGCACGCACGCATTAGCCCCATTCCCGGGGAGCCTGTACAGGCCTGGATCCTGCACCCCTGGGATGGCCTGTAATCTCAATCCTGGCCACTGCAGTTGCTGGGTCTGGACCCAGTTAGTGCCAATCTGACTGACTGACTGGCAGAACAGAGTTGGGACTGCTTCCAGGATGGAGGACAAAAATTGCATGGGATTTACTGCTTGTTGGGCCATTAAATGGCTAAGGGGCAACCAGAATACTTGGCGGTAACATTGGTTACAGACTCTGGCTGTGGGATCAATTTAGCGAGTGCTATAGAATGAAAGGTATGTGGAAATCGTGGAGAAACACAATTGAACTGCAGTGTGAATGATGATGGACAATGTGCTAAGCAGCTTGAGTTAGGGATGATTCATTTTTGCACTGAAATCCAGTTTAAAGTCACACTTGAACTCCAACTTTCACTTCAGTCACAACTACTTGCAACAAATGGAAATGGGATAAGAGATCATTGAGCTGCACCACACTAAGGTTTTCCTGTGTGGTGTTTATTGCCAAAAGACCACGCAGTGACAGTGCCATAATGGGCTGACCATTTGAAAATTGAAATGTGTTTAAGAAGGTGCTGGTGAGTCCACATCTGGAGTATTGAGAGTTGTTTGGGTCCCCTTATTTCAGGAAAGACAGCATTTCATTGTGAGGCAGTTCAGAGCAGGTTCACTAGGATGATCCCTGGTACAGAGGGATTGTCTTCTGACCAAAGACTAAACAGGTTGGGATTCTGCTCACTGGAAATTAGAAGAATGAGAGGTGATCTCATTGAAACATTTAGGATTCTTTAGGGGCTTGACAGGATAAGTGCTGAGAGGATGTTTCCCCTCTTGGGAAAGCCTAGAATCAGAGGGCATTGTCTCAGAATAAAGGGGGTTCCAATTTAAGATCGAGATGAGGGATCTCTTCTCTGAGTTGAAAGTCTTTGGAGTTCCTTGCTGTTGAGAGCTGTGGGATCAGTTTCTTTGTGTATCTGTATGTTGAGATCGATGGATTCTTGATCATTTGGGGAATCAAGGGATATAGGGAAAGGGCAAGGAAGTGGATGTGAGGAATATTGGATCAGCCATGATCCTACTGAATGGTGGAGCAGGCTCAATGGGCTGAGCTGCCTACACCTGTTCGTATATTTTATGGCCTTAAGCCATGTTTAATGTAGATGCTCCTCCTTTTCTGCAGTCGAGTCTAAAGCATAGCACAAGATTAAACTGATTTAAAACCACCAACAAATTAAATGTAAATAGTTACCATGGAGGACTCTCCTTCTAAACTTTGCCCCTCACCTGACATCTCTCTGTCAATTCTGGTGACTTTACATTTCATGTTGTAACTCACTGTGAATTCCTCTTGTAATGAATTATGCTTCATGATAATAATTATCCATTTCTATATTTGCTTTCAACTTCCTGTTTACTTTCTTGTGCTTTCTCACTCCTGTTTTTATTTCTCTCCCCTCAGTATTTGTTCCCTTCCCTTTATTTCCCTCTTAACCGGTTACTTTTCATCTCTCCCTCTTTCTTTCCTTTCTCTTCTCTTTTCATTGTCCCCTTCCTTTCATTCTCTCCGTTTCTCTGCTGTCTTGATGTGCATCTTTTCCCCCTGCTCCCTAGCAATAGGGCTCACTCGCTCTCTGCCTTGTCCTGACTTTCTCTTTATCACTCTGCCTCATTATAATAACATGACAGCATGAGAAACAAATGGTTTGATTTACAAGCCAGTTAAAACATGATGAGATCATATCACAAACACATGAATGAGCTGTGATTTAAAACTGAGATATAATTGTTTCGTCTTGTCCCTGAAGTGTTTTGTGGCATTAACAGATGTGGTCAGTCTGTTTTGCCTGTGTTGTAAGTCAGCAGATTGTAGTGTTGCCTTGATCTACTCCCATTTTAGTTGCAAAGGCCAAAGCAATGAGAGAGGACGTAGCTTTGAATTTCAGTTTCATCCTCTCTCAACACATTCCTAAGAACTTTGTGCTGGAAAACCAGTGGGGGTCAAAATGTCACCTTGTATAACACACACAATGTCAGCTCTGTATTTATGTAGTACACAGCTGGAATAAAATGAAGTAGGACTTGTTTGTTTCGTAGTTGTTGTGCAAAAGCTGTGCGGCAAATCAGAAGAGTGTATTGACAGCGCACTGCACTTTTGATATGTTACCCACAGCGTGCCTTGGCATATACCAGGGAGCAGTGGATGGCATGAGAACGAGGCTAGCAGTTGATGTAAGCTGTGATTGTCTGGGAGTGGGAGTAGGTGTTTAGAAAGATGTTTCTAATGGATTTTTGGCTCGGTCTCTTTTAAAGTGCAAATCTTGAACTTTGAAGGAAGATTTTCGCTCTAATAAGGGATGTTTTGTATAATTAGCGGCTGGTGTTATGACAGTCATCTCACAAGACTACTGGTGACGATGGAGTCTCGGGTCAGCATGTGTACTGAGTGTCTGCACTGTGTCTGTGAAAATCCAAGCGTGTGCTGCTTGGGCCAAAAGGCATTCTTTTATATGGAACCAACCTGTTGAATGTAATAAAACCAATTGAAAGGTTGCAGCATTTTCTCAGACTTGTAATAAAGGTCCAAACCACTCCTTGCTTATGTGTTCAGCCAATAACTGGCTCCATGTTCCAAATGTAAGCAGAAACTGGCAGAAACCAGAGGACCAGCAGTGTAAGCACTACATTGCCAACCTGTATGTGCTGACAAAATGGCATTTCTGGCACCCAGTGCTTGACCACTCATTATGACCATGCTGTGCTGTCTGTCTCCTTAGCTGACGTCAAGTCATGCCTGAACAATTTTTTTTTTCTCAAACACAGCACCAAAGCCAGCACTGTCAGCTTCCCATCAAATGCCCCACACCCAAGCCTTTGATCTGCATCTCCCATCCTGGCAGCTCACTCAGGCTAATTTTAACTCTTGAGTATTTTCACAGCCCTCCTTTCGATGCTACCTTTTGAGAGCCCACACTCTACCCAACACCAAATCCACAGCATCACCTACCTGCCACACTTGTAACAAGCGCATAATTATTGAAATTGTTGGTTGTACCTTGCCTGTTCTGTAGCCGAATTTGCTGTAATATTTCCCTGTTTGACCTCCCCAGACCCAGCTCTCATGGTCTGCACCTACCTCTTATCCCACACGCATTCAAGTTCAGACCTGCAAGTACTTAGAGATGCTTTGGATTTTAAGCCTGACGTACCATCTTTTCCAGTCTTCTTCTCCTTACTTCTGCACTGAGTTAAACCTGCCATACATCTAACTACATATCTAACTCTGCCCAGTTTTGACGCGAGGTCATCAACATGAGCTGCCGGCTCTGTTTCTCCACCATTCTCTGTTTATATTCTACTGTTATCACGCACACCATAGGACAGCTTCTGAAGCAGAGCCTACCCCCTGAGACAGAGCTGCAACACAAATGGATCCTAATTAACTGCATTCCAAATACTGCAAACTTAATTTATGAAGGTCAATGTAGATGGCTGCTCCCACTTTAATTTTCAGCGCTGAGCTGTTATGTAAATAACAATTATATTATCAGAAGCTCCTTGCCTGTTGGCAGAATGGCATTTTAAGTTTCTCTTGCCAGAACTTGTATCGGGTACCTACTTCTGCAGAGCATGGGCATGGAATGGTGTTTTTCTGCATTTCTTCACACAGACACCTAGCTCTTACTTAAATCTTCGGAGACAGAATTATTAGCACAACGTGGAGCAACCTGTTCCTGCCTTGTGTCTTTTTTCCCTTCCTAAACATTGTGATTTGCTTGTGTGCAAATCTCAGGAGATCTTCACATTTTATGGAAACTGATTCACTTTTTTTTTAAGTAGATGTATTAGTTGGGAGAGAGGAAGATGGCCTGAGGAATATCAGCGAAGGAAATGTTAGTGTAACAGGCACTTCTTCCTTAAGGTACTGTTTTATTCAGATTCAATGTTTCACTTATGAAAAATACTTCATTCTTTAAACTTTGAGAACTGTAGACTATTATTTCGCACCTCCAAGGATCTTTTTTTTTTTGCAAAGCCTTTGTTGGTGGCTGTACACACAGGTACATTTTGTGACTGAGATGCGCCTGTCTTTTCATATAAGCTTGCCAGCATGGAAAGATTCAAATCCCATAATCAACATTTTGCATTTGGTGCATCTTTGGTGTGGGTCATGAGCAAGCTGCGTCAGTGTGCTTTGTCCCCACTGTTCGCAGAATTATGGATCCGTGCATTTCCTAGGAGTACCAAGAAATTGGCTTCTGAGCTATAATCTTGAATTCCTATGTTTCTCCTGTTATCTAAGCGAGAGAAGCATTGAATGCAAGGATCTCCTTTAAACCTATTTAACGATAAAATTCTCACCCATCTGCACAGGTACTGAAAGATTGTCCTGATTCGCATATCTGTTTATAGCCACACCTTGCCTGCCCTCACCTCGATATAAAATATTTTGTACGTGGGATCTTTCCGAAATTTGGGTGTTGTCAGTTTGAATGTTTTGTGCATGTATGTTTTACTCGACAGGAAAACCTGTGCATTATAGATAACATCGCCCACATTCGTGACCATTCTCATTTTCAACAGCATAATTTTATTCCCAAACCACAGGATTGGGCGTGTGAGGCAGAAGATTGTTGAAGCTTGTCTCCAAAAAAATTCCAAGATAAAAATGGAGGAGGATGCTGCCTGAGATGCAGTAATATGCTGGCTTTAACTGTACCCTTGTAGCTAGTGAAGATGCAGGCAATGTCAGAGAGAGCCTGTTCATTTTCATTGCTATTTCTCCTCTTCAAAGGAATTTGCAGCTCAGAGTTCACTGGGCCTTCTGCCAGCATTTAGTCTTTGCACAAGCCTCCTCCCACTCGGTTTGTTTAATACCTCTTGGTGTATCATTCTGTTCCCCTCTCCCTCCCTTATCTAGTTTTCCCTCAACTGCAAATACTTGCCACTTATTTTATCCACTACTCTCAGTCCTGAGCCAGAAGGAGAACCATTGTTCTTGAAGTTGACCGATATTTTATTCTTCCCAGGAATGTGGGTGTTGCCAGCACTTGTTGTCCCTCATTTCCTTTTGAATTCCTGTATGCCTTGCCGGGCCATATCAGAGTGCTAGATAACACAGTGTGGAGCTGGATGAACGCAGCAGGCCAGGCAGCATCAGAGGAACAGGAAAGCTGACGTTTCAGGTCTGGATCCTTCTTCAGAAATGGGGGAGGGGAAGGGGGCTCTGAAATAAATGGAGAGAGAGGGGGAGGCGATGTTAGAAGGTGGATAGTGGAGCAGATAGGTGGAGAAGACGGACAGGTCCAGAAGGCAGGGATGAAGCTAGTAAAGGTGAGTGTGGATAGGGAGTTGGGATGGGGGTTGGTCAGTGAGGAGGGGGTTGCGGGTCGGTGGGAGAGAAGACTGACAGGTCAAGGAGACAGGAATGAGGCTAGTAGAGGTGAGTGTAGGTAGGAAGTGGGGTTGGGGGTTGGTCAGTGAGGTGGGAGGAGCGGATAGGTGGGAGAGTGCTGTTGGGAGTCGGTCACGTTGCTGTGGCTCGGGGGTCACGTGGCCTGGACCAGATCACGACAGCAGATTGCCTTCCCTACAGGACACGAGGGAAGCAGATGGATTTTTACGACACTTGGCTGGTGAGGTCCTACAGTGTACAATGAGGCCACTCGGCCAATCGTATCTACAAAATGAACATCATTAACTGCTGCCAATTTCCTGCCTTCCTCCCTCCCCTCCCCACACACAATATTTCCCTCCAAATAATCATCCAAATAATCTTGAATGCCTCAACCACCAATGGTTGTCGTGGTTACCATGACTGATACTAGCTTTATTCTCCAGATTTATTTGTTGAATTTAGATTCAACCACTGGCTGTGATTGGATTTGAACCCATGTCCCTAGGGTGCTAGCTTGGTCTTGGGGTTACTAGTCCAGTGACATGACCACAACGCCACCATTCCCGTTCACAAGTAAAAACCTCGTGATAAACATTTAGACCAACAAAGGGGACCTTGTGTTTTTCTCCAACACATTATGCAGATTGAAATTTTCTGAGAGACGTTTTCCTTTTTGCCAGTCCAATTATTTCATTTTTTTTCTCGGTGATTAATCTTACACTGGCAGAATAATATACTGAATTGTTTGTGAACAAACCCTTTGTTTGCCACTTTTACAGCTATTGATGTGTTTGTATTTAGTGGAGAGATTGAGACGTTTAGTATGAATGAAGGAATTCCTAAAAGTATGATAAGCATTCCACTGTAAATGCTCACAGAACATTATGCCTTTCATATTTGTATTTTGTCTCTTTGTCCCTCTATATAGATACCTGTAACCTCGGAGAGTCTTGCTCATCCACAAGTGTTTGTTACTTACCAGAAGTAGTGTTCCGTCTGTTGAAGGAGATTTTGGAGATTTACACTACAATTAATATTGCGGAAATGTACGGGAAACCAGACCTCCACTGGAAGAAAAATAGAGAGATTTGTTGCTGGGTGGATGATTTCAATGGCACTGGTTAGCTTTGAGTAGGCAACGCTAATTATCCAGTCATGGTTCATGTGTTGCAAGAAAGCTGCAAAAGGTATAAACAGAAAGCCTTTACCTTCTAGTCTTGATCTTGTAGAGATATCTTGTGTGTGTGTGTGTATGTATGTATGTATGTGTGTGTGTGTGTGTGTGTGTGTATAATTATCTATCAAATGTTTTACTATCAGACCAATATAATGTGTGTCGGACAGTAGTGATTCTGTAGCACTTCTGATGTAACATCATATACAAAACCTGTCATTGGAAAGCCAGAGTGCAATCCACTTGATTCCTGTTTGGTGTGATTGTTCTCCATCCTTCCCCTTTGTAAAACACACAAATTGGGTGAAATGCTGGAAATGATTTTTTAAAAAATTACAACTGCTGGAAGTGCTTAGCAGGTCAGGTACTAAGTATGGAGAGAGAAATGGGGTTAATGTTTCAAGCCGATGGCTCTTGAGCTGGCTGTTTTGCCCCTTTTTAGTTTCGTATCCTCCAACGGATCTGGTGCCAGATAACACAGTAGCCCCTGGTTTACCAGGCGTGGCCCTGATGCCAATGGAGGCACAGCTAGAGGGAGCCTTCCTCACGAGGCAAGCTTGGACAGTGAAGTCTGACCAACCCAGCTTTCCTGTTCCTGACTCTGAATGTCCATGAAGAGTAACCATTGGGTGTTTGTTTGGCAAATGCTGTCAAAATAGAAACGCATTTGGATTGTTGCCATCATGTAATTCATTTTGAATTCTGCTATTTGTTTATGCTGCTAATCAAGCTTAAGTATTGAAATTATTCAGCAGGATTTGAAGTAACTTATGTAGCTTGTCAATTTATGGGTTGATTTGAGAATATGCGATTGTTTTGTGTCCCACAAATTGATCTGGTTTATGCTCGCTGCATAAGGAGCCACATGGACCATGTGATCCAACCAGCCTTTTGTGTTGTTGCTAAGTTCTTGAATTTCCACTCCTGCAGAATCCCAGTGCCTCATCCTTCTTTCTCTCTCAGATTATACTTTGTTTCAATTAGGTCACTGGTTGTCGACGTCACTGGCTAGACTGACATTTATTGCCCATTGCTGTGGGTCTGGAGGCACATGTAGGCCAGAGTAAGTAAGGACGACAGATTCCCTTCCCTGAAGGACCTTAGTGAACCAGATAGATTTTTACAATTGGCACTGGTCACCATTAAACCAGTCTACTTTCTAATCTCTCCATTTGCCACTGTGGGATTTGTACCCATGCTCCCAGAGTATTAACTGGGATACTTATCCAGTGACATGGTGGGTACACCACTGCGCTCTCAATGTATTCAGCACATAAAGGCAGCAAGTGACCACTGTAGCCCCCTTCCTCAACATCCTCCTCTGCACAGGTTTCTGAATTTTATAGTCCAACGCTTCCATTGCGGGAGAGGTAATAAAAAGACAAAATTGAAGACGTGGTGGGTGTAGGGGGGTTGCTGTGGGGAGAGTTAGTCATGGTGTTTGAGTGAACCCTTCAGAAAGGTATAATGGAAGATAGGAAGGTGTATGAGACTTGCAGAGAGATTGAATAATTCAGAAGCGAGCAGACTGGAGTTTAATTTTCTGTTTTGTAACCCTATGTGTCCTTTTATATTTTGTTCAAGGCTTCATGGACTTCCTCCGATTTGTCACGGAAATGATTTTGTCTGTGGCGGCTCACCGACTTGATCAAGTTTCAGATCTGACCTAGCAACCCCTTGCTGTCCTCCTAAGGACAGGACCAGGTCACACTCTCTTCCCTCACCCACACAATGAAATGGGCTTTGCTTTTCTAGGATGTAAACGGTGAGATAATAACAAGTTGTTCTAAATTTGCACCTGTTTTATTTATCACTTAAGCAAGTGCTTTCATTCAGAGGGGAGTTTTTTTTTGCCTTTTGTACCAATGTTGTAATATTCTCCCCGATCTCCCCTCTTGCAAACTCTTCTGGAGTTGGATGTAGACTTCTGCGGATGGAATGGACATTTATCTTGGATAATGTTTGAAGAAAACCCTGGAGCTTCTCCAGGAAGCTGGTTCCATATGGTGGTTTAGATTTAACTGAGCTGTGTCTAGCACCATTTGAAATCAGTGTTCTTGGAGAAAGGTTTGCATCACACTTGAATCTGCTCTGGCTGAAGACCAAACTTGATAAAGCAGGCAGGAATAAATAGCGAGTTTCGTCATTTTACATTTTTAACCGTAGTCATCTTGATGATTTTTGTGTTCAGTACCAAGGCAGTTCAAAGTTGCTAAAAGGATCAAAGTGATTGGGTAGAGGGTTTATGAAATAAATACTGGTGACCTTGCTCAGAAAGTTAAGTCTGTGTTCTTTCCCCCCCAGATACAGAGAGCTTGTCCATACCTCTCCTGCGTATTATTGATCTCGCAACAATAACCACTCTAAAGCTGGAGAAAAGGTCGTTCTGCCAAATAGCCTAGTAACCCTGAAATGCCCGGAGCTTAGTGGAAAACAAGCTATTTGTCCAGCTGGTGTGAAACGTGCCTGTAGTTCCTAGTTTTCAAGCTCAGACTTGACTTGCTTACTTTTTTTGAGCTTAATCTCATGGGTATATGCTTGCTTGTGCACACCCTCTTCTATCTCTCCTTCCTGTCTCTCTCTCTCTGTCTATTCCTGTCTTTCTCCCTCCTTTCTTCTCCCTCCCTTCCTCCCTCCCTTCCTCCTTCCCCCTCTCTCCCACCCCTCCCTCCTTCTCTCCCTCCCTCTGTTTCTCTCCTATTTTCTCTCACTGTCTCCTTTTCACATTCTCTCGCTTGCTTGCCCATGAAGTGAATGCTGTTTGACGGCAGGTCTGCCCATGTGTTCACACTGTGAATGAAGTGCTCCATTAAAGCAGTGTGCAGCAGGCAGAATGAGTAAGTCCAAACATGTGACAGGTTGGAGGTAGCAGACACGTTCAGAACCGGTGTCCCTGATTTTGATCTCCCATCCCTGCATGTTTGTGGCCAGTGTCACTGATTGATTTATAAGCGGAGACACAAGTCCCCAGTGTGTTACACCCAGCGCATTGATGTCATGTTTGAATGGCTCCCCTGCTGTGGTGCAAGACCGAAGGCTGTGGTGCAGAACCATAGTGTCGACAGATTGAACTGATTTGTTTTCGGCGGCCTATTGAGCCATCTGCTTGCCTGGAAAGCAGAGGTTTTATGTGTGATGGTGTATAGCCCTGCTTGTTTTCTCCCTCACTGACTATGGCCTCCTTTTTGTCCTCCCTCTGCGTTTCAACAGCTAGCTGTACTGATAGATCTGACATTTTTTTTTGTTTGATTTTTCAGCTCAGGGTTTTTACATCTCTGATGAAGGCAAGGCAAGCTTCCTTGTGCTGAAAAGGCCTTTTTGTTTGTCCCTTCAGGGAATTGTTTTGTTATTTTTAATTTGCTCATAAAACACCTGCATATCATCTTTCTGAACTCCCATAGTTTCTGCCCCCACTGTTTCCACATGTTCTCACACTGCTGCTGGACATTTAAGGGCCATCCCTTTTATTGTTCTGGGCACTCATACAATTGGGTGTTGGATATAAGAGCCAGTGACTTTTAATAGCAATGGGTAATTCTTGTGCAAGGGAATGGCATTTGATTGGGTTAGGATCGAGTGTTTTGTTTTATTAGAGTTGACCCTTTTGATTTAATAGATACCAGCTGTGCCATCTTGTCCCTAAACCTGTGGACAGCTCGTGTGGAAGGCACGTAACCATCTTGTAGGCAAAGAGAGAGATGCTCAGGCCACTGGCACCCCCTTGTTTTTGTATTCACTGAGACCCAGTGGGGGTAGGGTTTCATTCCCTTGGCCAACATGCCTGAGCAGCTTCTGGTGCATCCACGAGTTATTGTGGAACCTCCCAGATGCTTGACAACAAGGTGCAGAGCTGGATGAACACAGCAGGCCAAGCAGCAGAAAGGCTGACATTTCGGGCCTAGACCCTTCATCAGAAAATGCTTGTCTGTTTGCAGGGCCTTTGTTGATATTCTAACAAGTATCAATGTGTAATTGATCTTAATAATACAACTTGGATGGCACATGGTCAATGAGTACATGTGATGTTAAATATGACTAAAATTCATTGAGTCTTTACCGCTATAGTTGTTACTATTGCCGAAATAACTTTGTTCTTGAAGAACTGGAAGTTGACTGACATTCTCATCCCTCTTCCACTTGGCTGCACAATGTCTACTGTCCCTTTAGAGGATGACCGATTTCCCTTGGTGTTTGGAGTCTATGTATTTATCTAGCACCATTTGAAATCGGTTATAATGATTGGGGAACAACACCTATCTTCACCAAGACATGATGGCTTCTTCTGTTCTATAATTCGGTGTTTCTAACATAATGATGCAAATAAAGGATATGTACCATGTTTAAGACTAATTGTGCTAGTTCTGTGTCACTTGACTGACTACAGGAAATTAGAATTATAATTACCTTTTGTTTATGCTGCTGTTGTCAGTGATGACCAAACTTAATGTTATAATTGTATTAGACAACTGGGTTTGCGTGTGCATGCTGTTGTACTCTGCTGGTCATAACTCAGGGGGTCCACATTTCTGTCTCTGATTTAGAAGGTCATGGATTCAAACTCTGCTCCAGTCTTTAAACACATAATCCAATCTGACATTTCAGCGCAGAACTAAGGGTGCGTTGCATCGCTGGATATGACAGGAAATGACATGAAGAGGAGCTGGGCATCTCTGACAGCTGAGCAATGTTTATTCATCGCCGAAAGTCTGATTATTTATCTCATTGTTACTGAGAGACCATGCTGTGTGCAAATCGAATATTGCATTTGTTTTCAGAACCTTTTTGTAAATTTACTACAAGAGTAGATAGTTGACTATAAGGCTCTTTGAAAATGAGATTGGAATGATAGTAAGTAAAAATTTCAATTTTTTTTCAGGTTTTTGTTGAATTTGTCATCGCCAAACCATGCCTTGACACTGTCTCAGTAGTGCAAGGCCTTTTCTTAAAGCGATTCTGGATTCTCTGGTACCCCGATGAGGAGACCAGACCCACAGCTAGACCACACCAGCTCGTGCCATCATCCTCCCTCTGAGGCTCAATGAGATCCTCTGAGGAATGGAGCAACTTGACCACTTTCCCCATGGGGAGTGGCACTGCTCAGATGAAGAGTGCAGTACGGTATATCTAGAACATCAACTCTGTTTGCAGAAGCACCATATTAGGAACGCGTGTCCAGAGCTTTGTTACACAACTAAGAGGCCAGTCGATAAGAGGTGATCTCCCAGTACCTGTGGTCCTGTGCTTTAATTGTTGACTAGTGGGTATTGCCGAGTCCTTGTTTTTGTGCTCTTTCTGGAATAGTGGCCACACATGGAGACCTGAGGAACTGCAGGGGTTATCCTTCAGCTACAGGCCTAGTGCTGAAATGGGATCAGAATAGATGGGATACTTGATTGCCAGCATGGATTTGATGGGCCAAATGATCTCTTTCCATGCTGTAAAAATTGACTCTACAGTGGCAACACCCTGCCTTCATATAGCACTTTTTAATGGCAACACAAGGAATCAGCTGAATAGCATATTCACTAGACCTAAGGCATTAAATATATAAAAAGGTGGAGGAGGTGATGGCCTAGTGATATTATCGCTGACCTGTTAATCCAGAGACCCCTGTTCTGGGGACCCAGGTTCGAATCATGGCAGATGGTGGAATTTGAATTCAACGAAAAAAAATCTGGAACAAAGCATCTAATGATGACCACGAGTTCATTATCGGGAAAAATCTGTCTGGTTCACTGACGTCCTTTAGGGAACTAAACCCAGTCTGGCCTATATGTGACTCCAGACCCACTGCAATGTGGTTGATTCCTAACTGCCCTCTGGGCAATCAAGAATAGACAATAAATGTTGGCAGAGCCAGCAATGCCCTCGTCCCTTGAATGAATAAAGGAAAAAAAAGAGCTTGAATAAAGTTGATTGGGAGGTGATCAAATCAGTTTGGAAGATAAACTTTGGCTAATATTCTGGAGGACAACATGTTTTTGCTGGGTTTTTTTTCAGTTTTGTAGTTCAAGTTGTCAGCATGTAGCAGACAGCTCTCCTCACCTTCCCGTTTAGCTGGGGGTGGGGGATGGGGAGGATGGTGGTGAAGAAATGGAAAGGAGTAGTTTGCAAATAAACTCATGTCATGAGATGATGGGTATTGCAAGATCCCAAATTGCAGTTGTGCTAAGTGGAGATCTGGTGCCACTCCAAAGGAGAATGGATGTCGTGAACTCTTTGTGAAGGAGTTAACAGGCAACTGCAGGACAATGTAAAGTTCATGGCAGTGAACTTTGAAACAGTATGGTCTTTAGAAATATTACTAATTCTTCCACGTCAAATGTGAATGGAGCATGGCCATTCCTCATGGAAACGATAGATGTGCAAAACTCGTCATTCATCCCAGAGTTATGACCAACATCGGCCGAACTCTACTTAACCCTGGCAATGAAACTTGCAAATGATTACAATTACTCTGATTCCAACAGAAAATAGTTGAAGGCATAAGGAGAGGGGCTAGGTCAGGAAGTAAACATTGCATCGTGGTGCTGACCCTGAACTCCTGCCGAGTACCGTTTCCTTTAAGTTGCACAGCCCTGGGCTTCCCATGTGAGTCATGCGCAAGTCAACAGCTAAATAGTCATCTGTGCGCAGCCACGTGCAAACGTTCAAGGGGTCATCTGCTTTAATGACCCATGCATTCCAAAAGGGAGAAAATGTTTCTCTTGCATGGCACCACAGGGAACCTCACTAGTGCATGCAGAACTTGAGCATCCACATGACCAAATCTACATTATATGACCAATCCAGTGCTTATGTTATCTATTCAGAGCAGTAACTTGAATATTGATTGTCCCTAAAAGTTGCTTTTCTCAACTCTCATATCCTCACCGTCCTAAAAAGCTGCAACCTTCACCCCACAGCAGGGTATTTATTGAGCAGTTGGGTAAGAGTTTGGTTGTTCCGCAGGACCTTTTGACTTTTTAAACTTCGGTGAACAAGATTTTCAACCCCTCCCCCTGCACCCCTTTCACTGACTTCCGAAGGTGCGGGAGAACCCTTTGGTCAAATGCCACCTACTAGTAGCAGTGAGAGTTCGCCGACCGTTCAAGTGAACCTTGAGTAGGACTTCCCCACAAGTTCATGCCTATCCATAGGCACACAGCAGCTGGAGGTGGTGAGGGGAACACATCCTGGCCCTTATTTACAGGTACGTCCACCTCGGCATTGGGAAAGCAATGTCCTTTGTGACGATCCAGCTGCTGTCTCTGTGTTAGAATGAAATCTGAACTTCTGATCTTCAGTATTGTGCCAGGTGGGATTTTCCTCATGGTGGGAGTTTTGTGATGTGCTACAGTTGAGTTTCACAAGTGATTACCAAGGCATTATACACTTTCATATGCATGTTAGCCCCAGAAGCAGTGGAAAGTGATCATAGAGACTCCAATTTCTTTGTGTCACATGGTTGACGAGAAATCTCTCTCGCTTTTACTGCCTGCCATTGTTGTATGTTGGAAGGATTAAGAGTCTAGAGCTGTACAGCACTGAAACAGACACTTAGGTCCAACTCATCCAATCCGACCTTATATCCTAAATTAATCTAGTCCCATTTGCCAGCGTTTGGCCTATATCCCTTGAACTCTTCCTATTCGTGTGCCCATCCAAATCTGGGAGTGGGACATGAACCCAGAGTTTCTGACTCAAAAGCAGAGATGTTGTCAGTGTACCACATGAGCTCTTCCGAAGAGTTGCATTGTAGTAACTATGGCAATATGAATTGCGAGGATGTGTGGAAGAGATTGCCCTGCCAGAGGCAGGGATACGATGCATCATGAATATCAATGTCCTAGCCTTCATGAGCACTCTCTCTCAATCTGCATCCTTCTGGATGCAGTGAGATATTATTAAATTAAACACAATGCTTAACAGGAAGTACATACGGATGTGCAGGAATGTTAACAAAACAGTTCTCAGATATTTCATAATTAATTGATTATGCTTAAATTACATAATTACCATTTAATCTGAGATTTAACAGAGCATTTCTGCGTTGTCTAATCATGGCTCAAGTGCTCATGAGATAATGATTCATTTTGGCTATTATGATGGCATTTTGAGTGGTTAATTTGCAGATGGGATGAACCCACAAACAGCAGTGAAGTAAGTAAAATCTGTTGTTGATGCTCTAACTTGAGAGAAAAATGTTTTCCTGGAAATTGGAGAGGCTCCCTGTTCATCTTGGAATGGTGCCATGGGATTAATGCTCAACTCAACAAAGTGATGAGGTCTTGGTTACATGCCTTAAATCTGGCACTTCATTGAATCAGTCACTAACTAAAGTGAAGCATGTGTGTTTGCCTGGGTTTTGTAGAAGTGTCACACCAGAAAACTGATCTCCACAGATCTAGCAGCCCTGCTAAGTAATTCCAACATTTTCTGTTTTTATGTTAGGCTTGTAGTTGCTCCATCTCAGGAGAACTGCCCCAGTCTATTTGCTCAGCCTAACCATGTAAACATTATTGAACTGATGCAAGTATTTTTCCTACAACATCCGCACCCAAGTTACAGATGAAGAATGATTTGTGATGCCAAATGCTCTTACAATTCTGGCACTTCAGAACGCTGCACATATCCCACCTAAATTAATAATTTCTCAATCTTGCTTTTCTACCACTTTTCCTTGTTTTCTTTACCCCTCCTTGTTTAAGTTCCTGCTTTAAACTTTGGCCAAACATTTGCTCACCTGATCCTACATCTTGTTACGGTGTTGGTTAGGAGTTCAGTTTGGTTTGGTGACATTCCTGTGAAGTGCTGTGGGATACTCTGCCAGGTTAAAGATGTTATATAAACGCAAGTTGCTGTTGTCGCCATGTGGCTTTGACTCTGGTCTCATCCGTAAGACAGATGAGAATTTTCCCTGAGGAGTGACAACGTTTAGAATTCCCTTCTTCAAAAGGTAGTGGATGCAGAAAATTTTAATGCAGAGCTAGATGGATTCTTGGTTATTGGGGGATGAAAGATTATCGGGATGTGCAGGAATGTAGACTTGAGAATAAAATCAAATCGGCCATGATCTTATTGAAGGGTGGAGTAGGCGTAAAGGGCTGAGTGGCCAACTCTTGTTTCTTGTTCTTGGCACAACTGAATCTTCTACCTCAGCATTGAAATGTACACAACTGGTGGAGATCCTCTGGCCAACCCAGTGATGCATAATAACTGGGCTTCATATTACTGACGGCCTGATACTTTTTTATTATGGGTTATGCACCTTTCTACTCTCAGTATTCACAATTGATGTTGCATGTATCTGTTTGCCATGAACATGGGTTGAAAATAAGTGGTGTTTCCCAATTAAAAACATTGTCAAAAGTCACACGACATCAAGTTATTGTCAACAGGGTTACTGAAATCACCAAGCTTTCGTGATTTCAAATAAACCCGTTGGACTGTAACCTGGTGTTGTGACCCCTGACCTTATCCACCCCAGTCCAACACTGGCACCTCCCCATCATGGCTGAGGATTAAAACGTTGGCATTGTTACTCCGCGCCCACTGGTACTCTTATTCCACCCACGTACAAGTCTACACATGTGCCACTTTGACCGAGCAGGTAGACTGAGGCGGTTGCTCACACCCACCTGACTGTGGGCCACCAGCTACGTGGTAGAACCCAATGAGACCAGCATCCAACTGGAAAATTAAAGGAAGGACAGCAGCACCTGTGGGCTGCTTTTGCCCCTGAGCAGAAGAGACTGATTTATTTAAAAATGCTTTAGAGGAGAATTGCCATGGGTAGCCAATTGCTCATCACTGTTCAGAACACTGT